TGAAAATTCTCGATTTTATTATTTATATTATATTTAACTTTATAATGCTATAACTTATTGAAAAGTTTATGGATCCACACAATTTTTTTATGAGAAATAATATTTTTTAATAAACCCTTTTTCATTCGACATACTTTATCTTAATCGAGATATTAATAAGGAACCAGAAGATCAAGTAGCTTTTGGAATAAAACACCAATTTTTTTAAAATTAAACACTATCTAAAGATTTGCATCGAAGCGTTTATATTTGATAGTGATTTTAATCACTGTCAGATATCATTATACTTGATCCAACTATGCCACGTCACCACTGTGCCGTGACCCCCCTGTGCTGGGTTTTTTTACATTATTCATACTAGTTAAAATTAACGATATTTTATACAAGATAAAATTAGATTTTATTTAATTAAACTATTTATACGAACGATAAAAAATATATTGCAAAACCTAATAAATTATCAGGACATTTAGTTCAACATAACTTAAGTTCTCTTGAAATTTTAACATTTTAAGCATTTTAGTAACTATTTTTCTAAACATAAATATTTTAATATAACTGAATATTAATAATGTACATAAGCATTTTATCCGACAACTAATTAATGATTTTATTTTTTAATTAAAACTGAATGTACAATACATTCTAATAATATACCTTATACTATTAATTCCTTATGATAATATAAATCATATTGTTATTAATAATAAAAAAAAATTTCAATTCTGAAATTTGCAGAATTTTAAAAATATACTGGTGTTCATCTAAANTTATTAATAATAAAAAAAAATTTCAATTCTGAAATTTGCAGAATTTTAAAAATATACTGGTGTTCATCTAAAGTAAATTTTATCATTGATATCCTCAAACTAGATTTATTACTAATTAAAAAATAATAATTCATAACCAAAAAGGATTATTTTACATGTTGGATAAATAAAGAATAATTAATATTTAGATCAAAATACTAACATTGTATATAAGGCTAACATTAATATTATAATTAAAAATTTCAGGAACATAATAATTACATTCATGGAACTGTTTAAGAAATTACTGTACAAATAAATACTATGGGCCTTTCAATAATATTAATACTTGAGATCATAAAACTATAAAACTAACTTTTTATAGTTGAAATCATTGTTCTTTATTGTATTAATGATTTATTTTATTATAAACGAATAATAGTCTTTGTTTTATAATTATACTAGATGATATCATTAATTAATTTAAAAATACCATTTTACTTTAAGTATTGATATTTATAAATAAAGATTATAGATATAATTTTGAAGAATGAATAAAAATTTATTTAACACATGTTTAAATAATTATCGTAAAATATTTACTTTAAGTCAAAGGATTTAGAAACAATAAAAAAACCCATATAACAGAATAGTCAAATTTTACTAAACCGTGTTAATAATTATCTTTTAAAATTTTTCCAACTATAAATATTTTAAAATTGAAAAATTACACGAGTAAGTATGCATTTTTCGTAATACGTAAAAAAAATCTTAGCATATTATAAAATTATGAGTAAGTAAAAAATATATAATAAGTTAATTCCATCATATGAAATATTTATTTATTGTAAACATTGTAAATTGTACTTATGCCTAAATCAATTAATAAGTAGTAAAACTAAATTTGTAATATTTTATCTCTAATGTATAACTATGAAATTCGAATAGATATCAAATTGATATAATGCAATTTTATTACTCCAGAAATTATACTTGAAAAATGAATTACTATGATCATTAGTAATTTATCATATTTTACTTTTGAACTTGGTTGGACTAAATAAAATTTTAATTTTTTTTTAGTATCGATTAAATTACAAAATTTATCTATTGTGGACAAAATTTTATTTATTATATTTTGTAATCTTTCAAGTTATAGGTTTAAAAAAAAAAAAATTATAGGGTAATGATCAATTTGCCCAAAATAACTTTGAAAGTCATGTTAGTGGTTTTAACTTAAGATACAGATTTCTAACTCGGTAATTTAGCCCGTTAAAAATTTAAATGGGTTTTTTGAACATTATTTTATTTTATTTAATGAGTAATTAAATTACTTGAATTTTCTAATTAGCAATTAACTCGAAAACTAGAATCAATATGAATATTTTAATTACAGCGACGAAAATCTATTTAGAATCTACTATCACATTGATTGGCGTATAAAATTTTTTATTATTTATTAAAGAGTCTTATTTAAACTTTTTTTTTTTTATAATGGAAGGTCTAAGATTATTAATTATAAGTAATAATGTTACATGAAACAATTATTATTACAAAACATTATATTCAAATCTATAGTAAATTATATGAAAAAATTGTAATGACTCTTCCTCAAAGTAGATTACTAAATCTTAAAATATGTTAATAAATAATAAGCATAAAAATTTATGATTTTTTTTTTCAAGCTTCATTGTTAATAGAAAATGATTGTGTATACATATTTACATGTCTTTATGTTTTCGGTAAGTAAACTCAGTAACTAGATGCATAAAATAAAAAATAATATATTTACATACATTGTAAAATGGGGATAGATATAATATTGAGCGTAACAAAGAATTCAGATTTCTTGATACTCTAACATTTATTCAAACTTTTTAGGCACAAATTTATACTGTTAGGCTTTTAGTAGCTATCCAAATATAGTTAGTGTGAAAAACATATTAAGGCTGATAAACGTGCAGAAATTTAAATGAAAAAAAACTGTTCACTAACACTACAAAAGTTTTTTNTGAAAAAAAAAACTGTTTACTAACACTACAAAAGTTTTTTATTTAATAAGGACTAATCTTTTGTGTTATTATTGACTAATCTACCTAGAAATAATATTTCAAATCAAAACTTTTATAAAATGTTGAAAATTTATATTGTATAAATATTTGTACAGAAACAAATTTGAGAATATATAGATAATTGATTTGATGATACAGTGAATTGAATAAAATTTGAACTGTCCAAAATTAAAGTTTGGGTTAGCATTAGTGCAAACACCGATTATAAAGATTAATTTGTTGCTAATATAATTTTTGGATCTATTATTTAAATTTAAATATTGTTTACTCAAATAAACAATATTTGGTTCATTTAGAACAAATATAAATAATATATTATTCAATTTTTTGCGAAATATTCGACAAGACAATTGGAATTATGGGTACTAAACATACCGATGTATTATTGTTCACATCCTATGTCGCTCCATACATGATAAAATCTGATAAAACTAGAGAAGTATTTTATTTTAGAATGATTTATGTAACGTTAATGGCGTTTAAATAGTAACAAGTGGTAGAGTAGGGTAGAGAGAAATCGGTAATTGTCGAAAAAAATTATGTCTAGTTTAAAAGAGATTTATAAAATAGTCAAATCGAGTTTAATTATATATAGCTTAAGTTCTAAGCTCGTTTTCTAGGTATAAGACTTTACTCGGTAATAATCTTAAAGTATTACGTTTAAAAAACTTACAGAACCATATTATTATTCAATGCATTTTTAAGGAATCTAATGAGAGAACCGGTTAGTTTGAACTTAATGTAGTGTTTCCATTTAAATNTTTTAAGGTATCTAATGAGAGAACCGGTTAGTTTGTACTTAATGTAGTGTTTCTATTTAAACAATTATTTGCTAACAATATAATTGTTAAGTTATTAAAATTAAGAATTTTAGTTAAAAGTTAGATTTCTATCGGTTTTTTTACAGTTTAAAAGTTTTTTTTATAATAATATGTTATTTTTTAAGGGACTAATACTTACAACGATTGCCAATGAAATAATTGAATACTTGTCTTTTAAAAACTTACTAGAAGCAAAAGAAGAATTTTATAATTGCTTAAATAACATTGAATTTGACGACAATATACAAATAGAGAAAGGTGAAAATCTGATTAAATGTATATTATAAAGTCATTGAAATTTTGTAAATATTTTATAAAACAAAGCATTGTTAAAAAAATGCTAAAAATCGTGGTATTTTTGTGTCATTTACTAAAATATATTATTAAATCTTATTATCAATTAAAAAAAAAAACCCAGCACAGGGGGGTCACGGCACAGTGTTGACGTGGCATAGTTGGATCAAGTATAATGATATCTGACAGTGATTAAAATCACTATCAAATATAAACGCTTCGATGCAAATCTTTAGATAGTGTTTAATTTTAAAAAAATTGGTGTTTTATTCCAAAAGCTACTTGATCTTCTGGTTCCTTATTAATATCTCGATTAAGATAAAGTATGTCGAATGAAAAAGGGTTTATTAAAAAATATTATTTCTCATAAAAAAATTGTGTGGATCCATAAACTTTTCAATAAGTTATAGCATTATAAAGTTAAATATAATATAAATAATAAAATCGAGAATTTTCATACAAAAATAGCATTCGATAGCCATTTTCGCCGTGAAGACAAGTCCAGAGGTCAAATTTTTTTTCAAATTAAAGTACATTACATTAACTTTAATTTAAGATATATATAAAAGTGTCAGACCTTCCGGAACATTTTCAAAAGTTAAGTTGAAAAAGTTAATTGTTTGTGAAAAAGTTGTCATTTTAAATCTCCCCTGTGGGCAGGTTAAGTGTCAGATTTACAAAAAAATATACCAAATGATAGGTTAAGACATCAAAAATCTATATAAAAAAATTATTTTCATATGTTTATTTTTGAAAAAGTTACGGCAGATTTTAGTAAAAAAAATTGAAAAAATTTCGAAAATTAGCGATTTTTAAATTTGTAATTTTTTTGGAGGTTTCCCCCATTTACGGGGAACGAGGGAAATTTTTTCAATTTTGAAGGGTAATGTCTTCGACTAGATACGATTTGTGATCTTTTGACGTATCGTTGAAAGAAATCCGTTCGGTGAGAGCTGAGAAAAAGTGGTAACAGACACAAAAAAAAAACACATCATAGTAAAACCAATACCTTCTCAGCTTCGCATCGAAGCTAAAATATAAAATTATAATTCATTTAATCTGTGACTGATTAATGTATATCACAACTTGGATTGCAATTTATTTTTGAAAATAGATTATTCTACTTATTACGTATATGCTTAACTCTTTACATTTGTCTATTTGAATACTATTTTAGCTTCGATGCGAAGCTGAGAAGGTATTGGTTTTACTAAGAGATGTTTTTTTTTTTTGTGTCTGTTACCACTTTTTCTCAGCTCTCACCGAACGGATTTCTTTCGACGATACGTCAAAAGATCACAAATCGTATCTAGTCGAAGACATTACCCTTCAAAATTGAAAAAATTTCCCTCGTTTTTTTTAATATTTTTAACTTAATAATGCTCTAACTTTGTTTTTATTGAGTGTATGATTATTTGTATTTGTTTAGAATCATTATATGCATTTTTAAATGACATAAGAGAAAGGTATGTGTCCGGTAATTTACCACCGATCAATACGAGTAAAGAAGTAATGAAATTCATTGGAATGTTCGGTGATTTAACACTAAATAAGATCAGTAAAGAATTAATGAACTCCAAAGGAGAACAAACATCAAGTATTAAAAAAGATTTAAACATTTGCTGTACTATGTTTCATGAGAGATTGTTCGTAGTTGAAGAACCTATAGTAATATTTTTACTTTACTTTACTTATTTTGNGATTTAAACATTTGCTGTACTATGTTTCATGAGAGATTGTTCGTGGTTGAAGAACCTGTAGTAATATTTTTACTTTACTTTACTTACTTTGTATACTTTTTTATAAAATAAGCAATTTATTGATGGTTCTCATTGAAAAACTATTAGAGTATTCTATAGTTTTAGTTGAAGAGTTTAAATTTTTATAAATTTCATTTTAACCGATATGATTATTGAAAATGTAATTCTGCAAAATGTTCTGATAACTCTAATAAATTTCGATCCAGTTAATAATTTTTGATTATAATTTTATTTTTAATATTTGTTAAATATGAATTGATAAAAGAATAGAAAAAAATTAAATCTTTCCTTGCTAAATTATGGATATAGGTTATGTATAACTTTTTCTATTAAAATTATCAATTTTTAATTAGGTGGACCTTAATTAAATGTTATTTTACTTATTAATTCGATTAATAAAATATGGCAGATCTTATTGTTATTTATTTATATGTTTAAATTTAAGTTGAAACAAAGCTGTTGTTTTATTCTAAATGATAAAACCGTTGTCGTTTATTTTTCTGGAATTTCAAACGATTAAAAAATTTACCTTTAATCTGATGAACAATTTAAATCGAAATTAGTTTAAATTTTTTATCAAATTCATTTAACTTAAAAAGTTGTTAAATTTATTGATCAATCTTTTTTGACTTCAAATCTATTAACATAAAATAAATTTGTCTGAATAAAATATTTATTTGGTTAGTTTTGCATAATATTTTTAGTATACTCATAAGTTACAATTCACTATTCAATTATAAACACTCATTTCAAGAAGTTGATAAATAAAATAAACCAAACCCAGTAAAGTTGAGTATCAGAAAGTGACATATTTGGTATATAAGGGACAAGTATACATAATAACTTACATTTATTATTATCATTATCATAAAAAACGCTTCGATGTGAATTTTTTTTAACTTATCTTCTTTTTCTTCCTTTACTGGCATTCCTACTCTCTAAGAGTTTTTGCCGCCATTACTACGCTTCGCCACCTATCTCTATCTTGGGCTGTCTCTCTCCAGTCTTCAACTCCAAGGATTCTTAAATCTTCTTCTACCACGTCGATCCATCTTTTCTTCGGCCTCCATCTAGGTCTTTTCCCTTGTGGTTTCCATTCCAATGCTACCCTGGCTATCTCGTTCTCTCTTCTTCTCGCTATGTGTCCTATTCTTTGGCTCTTAATAAAACTTGTTACCGGTGCTATTTCCAACATGTCATATAGTTCACTGTTGTACCTTCTCCGCCAACTTCCCGTTGTTTCATCGATGACCGGTCCGCATATTTTCCTCCACACTCTGTGCTCAAAAGTCCTCAGGTTTCTTTCTGTTTGTTTGGTCGTTGTCCACGCTTCGCAACCATACGTGAGAGTTGGTCTTATAATAGCCGTGTACAATCTTGCTTTTGTTTTTCTAGATAGAATTTTGGATGTAAAGAATTTAATCATTGTGTAGAACGTTTTTTGGGCTTTATTTATCCGAATACTATTTTTAGTATTTTAATACTATTTTTTAATTTATCAATAATTTTTAAATATGTAATTAAAATATTGCTATGTTTCAAAATTTCACTCAAATAATAAAGGGTCGTTATAAATTATTTGTTTTATTCCACAATTAGTTTTATACAGAGCTAGAAGAGTATCAGCTATAATCTTCCGTTACATAGTCAATTACTATCCTTCAAGATCATGAAATACATCCTTTTAACTTTAAAAAATATTTATTTTTTTTGAAGGATATGCAAAAACACAGCGTCAAGAGTATTAAGTGGGTTTTTGAATATCATGCATGTTACCGTAGGCTAGTAATTATTGGATTAACACAATAGTATAGGCCAAAAAAGTACAAAAATATCCAATGCAAATTGTATGATAAAATAAATTATTTAAAGCTTATTGTCTCTAGTATCCTGTAACAATGAAATAAATATATTTAATAATAAATATAAGGATTAATATTCATCAAGCTGGAAAGTTGGGTTTGGTCTAATTGTTTGAATTGAGTTTCTATTGTGGTTCGTAAAGTTCGAAAGTTTAAAACAACAAAGAAAATAATTAGTAGTCCTCTATTTCGAAGTGTAATAAATAAGTTAATCAAAAAGCTCCTTTAACGGTACCACTGTTATATTGATAGTTTTTAAGACAAATATTTCGGTTATATTGTTATCCGTTACCCGTCATTTGTGGCGGGATTATTGAGAAATTATTATTATTTATGACTTGAAGTAAAGAGTTTCCTCTTTAGTTGTTAGAATGGCAACCCCATTGTAATTTTTTGGCATTTAGGTCACCGCCCACTATTAAACTGTGGTCTAGAGTAGAAAAGTAAGTATTGAAATTTGACGGAGAGACCGACTGCCTAAGAAGACAATATACAGATGCGATTGTAGTGGGTAAATGATTTAGTGTTATTTTTATGGCAGCAGACTGTAAAAAATGTTCATTAAATTGAATATATTGATAAAATTGTATAGTGTTTTTAATTATGATAGCTGCACCACTGTGAGTGGAATTATCCGAGTGGTTTGTATTTATTCTTTTGTAACCAGGAATTGAGAATTTTGTTCGACTAGTGAGATGGGTTTCAGAAATTAAGGCTATATCGATTTTTTTGTCAAGAAGAAGGTTTAAAAGTTCATTTTTATGGTTAAAAATACCATTTATCAAAATCCTAAAATTAAGATACTTTTTTCTAATTTTCTGCGATAAGTAATATGAACTAGATCGAACAAGATTAAGATAGGGTTCTTTTGATGTATTGATAATTAATATTGGTTCAGTGAAAGCTAAGAATTTTTATGGACAAACAAAAAAAACCCAAACCATCACAAAACCAATACTTTTTAAGTATCGTATCTAAGCTAAAAATATTAGTTTTTAACAGTAATTGTAAAATGATTTTACAATATATAATACTATTATAATATATAACTATATAATCATAATATTTTATGTGTTATATTAAAGACATCATAAAAAATATAATTGTACAATTACAATAGAAATTAATTGGTGTGATATATTTATAGATAACTGAAAACAATGATATTGTTACCAGGGCTTTAAAAAATTATGGTATAGCTGTCAATATGTTGTATGACTGTTTCAAAAAGTATCATTGTTTGGATAATGGCGCAATACCAAAGAGTAAGTAATATTATACTAATAAATGATGTAACAGACAAATGTATAAACAGGTAAAAAAAGTTGTACTACCAAAGTTGTTACTAATATTATTTCTATCTTATCATTATATTAAAAACGCTATTTGGTTCATACATCAATTAATGAATTAAAAATTCACAAGAAAAAAAATTATAAGACAACATTTTAATATTATTTATGAATCAAATAATTTTTTTTCATTACAAAAATGTATAATTGCTCTGAAAAATAAAATGAGTGTCCTGTCTAAAACCGATCACGATATTCATCTCATATTCATTATTTTTTTCTTAATATGAATAAACGCAGCGCACGGTGGTATTCACGCGGCTTCGTTAACGTTCCTGGTTTTATTTTTTGTCTTAAGTCTTTGGGCAATATCGAGGATCAGGAATAAAGTGACATGACTGTATAAATGAATGTCGAATGGATTTTACAATACATAATTATAACAATTAAATTTATTATACGTGAATTATAAAATCTTATATACACCAATGTGGATATGGTGGATTATTAATACTAATGCCACAATAGCGCTGACATAAACAAATAATAAATTATAAATGTGAGTAAGTCTTAGAAGGAAAATGAACAAGCATTATACTTGTCGGCTATTTGAAACGGCTGATGATAATGTTGAATATTGAAAGGATCAATTGAAATCGAATGCGAGTAATTGACCAACGTGTACAATATGTTATGAACGGTACTGTGATGTATCTCAGAAAATATATAGACCCAACGGCGATATACTTAGCGCATAAGGGTGCGACTATCACAAAAGTGATGTTTTACTTTTACAACAAAATGAATACAAAAAAACTGGCTCGCTAGCGCCACAGATCATGTAGCAGAAAAAGCGTTAAGATGGCGGCGAAAATGTAGACATAGAAAGAAAATTGACAACAACGCGATGTAGCACAATTATAGCATAATTAATCACAACACAATTTCTCGACAGCATATTGATGTGTATCCAACATAATATTTACTATAAAAATAAAAAAAATTTTCTACTTTTTTTAAATTTCCTTTATAAATATCCACAATTTTATTCTGTTATCATATAATATTAATAAAATACAATTTCAGACAGATTAAACCATGATTATTTTCGTAAATCTACGATCAATAATTTAAAGAACATTATATCTAAAACTTCTACTCCTCAAAATATGGTTAAACATGTACGAAATTGCATTATAATGAACGATAATGTATTTGGGAAGTATTGTTCTGCAGCTTATTATACTTTTTTGATATCTGAAAATAATGTGAGTATAAACAATAAGATAATTATAAAAAAAAATGTGCGGGACTGATAGAATTATAAACTGATTATATTGATATTATTCGCTATTACAGTGTTATATTAATTATCGACTATATTTTTATATGATCTTCTAATATTTAAATTAACCCAAATTTTCACTTCAAAGGGAATTTTTTTTACAATAACTGTTGATGGAATAATGAATTTAATAACATTGAAGAATTTACCTCGTGCTAAAACAGCGCTGTACAATTGCTTCACGAACAATAATTTAATTGATTTTATAAAAAATCGCAGTATGTTAATTTTTATTATGAATATTTTAGTTTTTATTTAATAAGTAACCAAAGTTTATTAAAAGTAATTTTATCTATTTATTTTTAACATTTTTATAGGATCTTTTGATAAATTTTTAAACGGTTTAAGAAAAAGAATTGTTTCTGCTAAAGTTCTCCGTAAAAATGTTCATGTGGAAATAATAAAATTCTTAAAAGAAGATTTATCAAATTTCACGAATGAAATAATTAATTGTTCTACTAATTTTTATTCGACATTGTTTGAAGTGACAGAACCTGAAGTAAGTATAAAAAGATTCTTAATTTCGCTTTGAAGGTAAAATTAGCTAAATTAACGATTAGTAAACTAAAGGTCGATTTATACTATAGTCAATTATTTATGAAAATTATTTAATTTTAAATAATACGATTTCGTTACATAATTTCTAGGACTAATGTATCCTTATTTTGATTTTTATTGTGTAAATTCATTTTATTGAGAAATTTACATCAATTAATTAAACCTTCTTCTCTTCTGTCAAACACAAGATTTAAAAGTATTTGGTCGGTAAATTACGATATTTTAAATAGGACACCGTGACAAGGCCGACTGTATATTATTAATTATGCTTTCTGTTTCGTTCCTACGATCAACTTGGCAGTTACGAATTTTTCGATATCGAACTTAGCGTCAGATTAATTTTATTACTAGTATGCCACTCTGTTATCATTCTAGGTTTTATTTAAACAATGATTATTTTTATTTCTCTTTGCTTGACAACAACACACAGTGTTATATATATATATATTATTCAATATGTATATAAATATACAGAGTGGAACTGATCTAACTGAATACTCATATAACTTATAATCTACATAACATTTTTTACTTTTTTTTTTAATAAATTTTTATAATATAAATAGAACTATATTTAAAATTGTTTTATGTTATTTTTCGCAATTACTAAAAATATTTTAAAAATTAATTTTTTTTTTGAGATTTTAAGATGGCCTTTTTAGAAATAAGTTTTAAAGAAAAATTTTGATACTAAAAACTCTTATTTTAATACAGTAGTTGGGTTTATACAGCATTTTTAAGTTTGTAAAATTTTGATTTTTTTACAATTTTCCTATGGTGTCAAATGTTAGTCTATATTATGTAAAGTACAGAAGTAAACACTTATTACGTTATTTACTGTTAACAGTACGCGATTTCTTTTCTAAGGATAATAATGTTTAACTCGCTGTATATAGAAATAATTATCTATTATATTTTCTATTTACTACTGAATTTTAATAAGTAATTTTTTTACCAACATTTTTCTAAAAACTGCTCCACAAAATAGCTATCTTTTTTTTTTACTTTTTATTTAAAATTTTAAAATCATTAATATTTTTAATAAAATGTAAAAATATAAATTATTAAAATATAATTATTGATCCAATATATAACGTATGTTCTTAAAAAAAAAAAAAAATAGTAAAAAATATTAGCTAGATCAAAAGTTATTAAGTTGTCAGTGATTGCTGGGCCACTCTGTATAATTGCAAAAGTCAGAAATAAATGTGTTAGTGTATTCTTTTATGTGGTCTGAGAAATTCAAGAGGAATTGATTTTCTGCAAATGTTCTTCATCAAATAAAAGCTTCACCAATTAAAAAATGGCCTGTTTTAAAAGGTCTGGTCGATTGGAAAAGAGGACATGAGTTCAGACAAACCTCAGCACGAGTAAGTACGGTGTACACTTCGTCGAACGATAAATGCGACTTTCTCAGTATTCTTTTTACTATTTTGTGATGCTTGACCGTTTGGTATTTTTAGACATTTTATTTTTTGCGAAAAATATTCATCTTGGACATATACACTTATACATTTTCCACTTGTTCCACTACATGTACTGAAATAGGACTTGTCATTTTATTTAATGGTTTACCATTTAAATTCTTTTTATGGGACCTCCGTATCGCAAACAATATGTCATAATGCACAATATTTTATTTAATGGGAAACATTGTGTTAATAACGAAAATTCTGAATTTGCAATAATAGCAAAAGCTTGAAAAATTTTAGCTTCAACTTCCAACTCCTTTTCGTCGTACACGATCATGTTTTTGGTAGCAGTGTTTTTTTTCATTATACACAGCATGATTTTAAATAACAACATAATGACTCGTCTTGTCTCTTTTCTTCAATTACATCTGTCATATATAGGAAGACTACCGATAATTTTAGGAAACACTAAACAAATAATTATAACACATAATTATTTTTTTTACAATCATTTGAACTAAACTATTTATATTTTTTATTGTTTCTCCAATTCCCAATACTATATGCGTTTCCTCTTTAAACCCATTTCTTGTACTATTCGCTCGCTAATATAATATCTCTAACAACCAGAGTTGAGTAATGCTCTATACGGCTGCATTGCACTATTTTTGTCACCTATTTTTATCACAGCAGTGGATAACACTATTTGATCACATGTTGATAATACTGAACTGAATTTTCATCAATGTTTACGTTTTCATGACTTATCAGTATTGTTGTACGTAGTGGGAAATGCAATAATGAATTATGATGTCAAGCGCATTTAATACAATTTTTACCTGCATATTGTTTCAAACAAATTTTGCAAAGTTTTAATTTATTTATTTTTTCAATACGCT